TGAATTCCTGGGCTCAAGCGGTCCTCCTGCCTCAGCCCCCCAAAGCCCCAGGATACAGGCATGAGCCACCACGTCTGGCCATTTTAGCCATTTTAAAATGCACAATTCAGGCATTTAGTACATTCACAATTTTGTGCAATCATCACCTTTATCTAATGTCAGCACATTCTAATCACCCCCAAAGGAAGTCCCGTCCTCATCAACAGTCACTCTCATCCCCTCCCCAGCTCCTGGCACCCGCAAATCCCCTTCCTACCTCTGTGGATTGACCTGTCCTGGATATGAGACCGCACACAGCATGACCTTTTTTTTTCAGACGGAGTCTCGCTCTGTCACCAGGCTGGAGTTGCAGTGGCGCGATCTCGGCTCACTGCAACCTCCGCCTCCCCGGCTCAAACGATTCTCCTGCCTCAAGCCTCCCAGGTAGCTGGGACTACAGGCGCCCGCCACCACACCCAGCTAATTTTTTGTATTTTTAGTAGAGACAGGGTTTCACCGTGTTAGCCAGGCTGGTCTCGAACTCCTGACCTCAGGTTATCTGCCTGCCTCGACCTCCTAAAGTGCTGGGATTACAGGTATGAGCCACCATGCCCAGACTGTGTGTCCTTTTGTATCTGGCTTCTCTCACTGAGTGTGATTGTCCTCAAAGGTCATCCACGCTGTGGCCTGTGTCAGAGCCTCATTTCTTTTGGTGGCTGTCATGGTCCAGCGTGTGAATGAATCCGCTATATGGACCCATCTATCTGTCAAAGGACTCTAGGCTGTTTCTACCATTTACTTGTGAGTGATGCTGCTGTGAACATTCATGTACATGTTTTTGTTGGAATGACCATTTTCCATTCTTTTGGAGATACAGACTGCTGGGAGTTCTGCGTTTGGCTTATTTTGTGTACGTGTATATGTGTGTGTGTTGCTTATTGACAAACCTTTCCAGAGACTTTTGCATTTAATGGCATACATAAGACATCCTAAAAAATTTGGAGAAAACCCATCCTGGCTAACAAGGTGAAACCCCATCTCTACTTTAAAAAATACAAAAAATTAGCCGGGTGTGGTGTCGGGTGCCTGTAGTCCCAGCTACTCAGGAGGCTGAGGCAGGAGAATGGGGTGAACCCAGGAGGCAGAGCTTGCAGTGAGCCAAGATTGCACCACTGCAGTCCAGCCTGGGCGACAGAGCGAGACTCCGTCTCAAAAAAAAAAAAAAAAAAAAAATCGGAGAATAATCTGAACCCCAGAACCTCTGAATGTGACCTTATTTGGAAATAGGGTCACTGCAGATATAATTAGTTAAGATGAAGTCATTACTGGAGTAGCGTGGGTCCTAAGTCCAACATGACCGCTCTCCTTATAAGAAGATAAAATTTGGACACAGACACAGAGAAGAGACAGCCAAGTGACAACACAGGCCAAGACTGGAGTTATACATCTAGAAGCCAAGGAACGTCAAGGAAGGCCACCCACAGCCGGAAGCTGTGGACGTCAGGCAAGATTCTGCCTGGGGACTCTGAGGGCCCTGCCAGGACCTTCCTTGTGGAATTCTGGCCTCTGGAGTTGTGAGAGGATCAGTTTCTGCTGTTTTATGTCTCCCCATTTGTGGTGCTTTTTGTTTATTTTTTATTTTTTAGGGGTGGGGGGGTCTCACTATGTTGCCCAGGCTGATCTTGAACTCCTGGCTCAAGTGTCCTCCTGCCTTAGCCTCCCAAAGTGCTGGGATTACAGTTGTGAGCCATTGTGCCCACCCCCATCCCACACTGCTGCTGCTGCTTTTTTTTTTTTTTTTCCAGACAGAGTTTCGCTCATGTCACCCAGGCTGGAGTGCAATGGCACGATCTCAGCTCACTGCAACCTCCACCATCCAGGTTCAAGCGATTCTCCTGCCCCAGCCTCCTGAGTAGCTGGGATTACAGGTGCCTGCCACCATGTCCGGCTAATTTTTTGTATTTTAGTAGAGATGTGGTTTCACCATGTTGGCCAGGATGGTCTTGAACTCCTGACCTCAGGTGATCCACCTGCCCCAGCCTCCCAAAGTGCTGGGATTACAGGCGTGAGCCACCATGCCCAACAGCTTTTTTCTTTGAGACAGGGTCCCACTATATTGCCTAGGCTGGAGTGCAGTGTCACAATCATAGCTCACTGCAGCGTCGACCTCCCTGGGCTCAGGTGATCCTCCCACCTGGTCCTCGTGAGTAGCTGGGACCACAGGTGCCTGCCATCACTCTTGCCTAATTTTTTTTTTTTTAGACGGAGTTCTCACTCTATTATAGCCCCAGGCTGGAGTGCAATGGCTCGATCTCAGCTTACTGCAACCTCCACCTCCCAGGTTCGAGCGATTCTCCCATCTCAGCCTCCTGAGTAGCTGGGATTACAGGCACTCACCATCACGCCCAGCTGATTTTTGTATTTTGAGTAGAGACAGGGTTTCACCATGTTGCCCAGGCTGATCTCAAACTCCTGACCTCAGGTGATCCACCCGCCTTGGCCCCTCAAGGTGCTAGAATTACAGGCGTGAGCCACTGTGCCTGGCCAATTTGTTCCTATTTGTGAGATGGGGGTCTTGAACTACTGGGTTCAAGCAATCAGCCTCTCAAAGTGCTAGGATTACAGGCATAAGCTACTGCGCCCAGCTGTTTCTTTGTGGTTGGGACAGGATCTTGGTCTGCCACCCAGGCTGGAGTGCAGAGATGCCATCACAGCTCACGGCAGCCTGCACCTCCTGGGTTCAAGCCATCTTCCCACCTCAGCATCCCAAGTAGCTGGGACTACAGGTGCACGCCACCACACCCAGCTAATTTTGTATTTTTTGTAGAGATGGGGTCTCACCTGGTTCCTCAGGCTGGTCTCAAACTCCTGGGCTCCCAAAGTGGATCCTCCCAAAGTGGACCCCAAAGTGCTGGGATCGCAAGCAAGAGCCACCTCACCCCACCCAGTGTGTGGTGCTTTGTTACGGCTGCCATGGGAGACTCACACAACCCGATACTGCCAACCCCCCTCACTCTCCACCCCAGTTTCACCCTTTCCTGGCACAGGTACCACCACCTCAAATTTAGAGTTTCTCATTTCTAGGCAGGCCTGGAAAATACCATTTTGCATCAGTTTTTTTATTTAAAAAAAAAATTTCAGCATACAATTCAGTAGGTTTTGGTACATTCAAAAAGTTGTGTGGGCTGGGCACAGTGGCTCATGCCTATAATTCCAGCACTTTCAGAGGCCAAGGCAGGCAGATCACTTGAGACTGGGAGTTTCTAGACCAGCCTGGCCAACACAGTGAAACCTGGTCTCTACTAAAAATACGAAAATAGGTGGGTATGGTGGCACATGCCTATAATTCCAGCTACTTGGGAGGCTGAGGCAGGTGAATCCCTCTCTCTATCTCTCTCTCTCTCTTTTTTTTTTCTCGAGACAGAGTCGTGCTGTCTGTCCCAGGCTGGAGCGCAGTGGTGCAATCTTGGCTCACTGCAACCTCCGCCTCCCAGATTCAAGCAATTCTGCTTCAGCCTCCCGAGTAGAGATGGGGTTTCACCATGTTGTCCAGGCTAGTCTCGAACTCCTGATCTCAAGCGATCGCATGCCTCAGCCTCCCAAAGTGCTGGATTACAGGCGTGAGTCACCACGCCAGGCCTTCCATAAACTTTCTTACCTCATCCAAACCCTTCTGCTACTTTCTTTTCTCTCCCCATGTTCAGTTTGTGAGGCTCCTCCCAGGCGGAGGCTGTGTCTGGCTCTGCTGTAGGACCCGCCACTGCAGGCAGGATGGCTGTTTATTGAGCCAACATTCCTGGGTAGGAATCTGATGGATACATAGGTGTTTCCGGCATTGCATTCCAGTGGATTTTTACCAATGCCTCCTGGTGCCTGGGATCTCCTCCCTCATCTGTGACCTGGACATCCATTCACTCCTCACCAAAGATCACTGAGTACCCGCTGTAAGCCAGGCACTGCACCCTGGGCACTGGGCATGGGGACAGAGCAGGGGAACAGCCCCCGCCCTCCTGGAGCTGACATTCCTCCAGTCCTGGAGACAAACAGGATGCCAGATGAAATAAAATAGCAGCTGGGCGCCAAGGCTTATGCCTGTAATCCCAACACTTTAGGAGGCTGAGGTGGGAGGATCCCTTGAGGTCAGGAGTTCAAGACCAGCCTGGCCAACATGGTTTTAAACCTCATCTCTATTAAAAATACAAAAAAAAAAAAAAAATTAGCTGGGCGTGGTGGTGTATGCCTGTAATCCCAGCTACTGGGGAGGCCAAGGCATTAGAATTGCTTGAACTTGGTGGGCAGAGGTTGCAGTGAGCTGAGATCGTGCCACTGAACTCCAAACTGGGTGACAGAGTGAGACACTGGCTCAAAAAAATAATAATAATAACATTAAAAATAATAAAATAAAATAAAACAATGACCTCGCCTAGCAGAGAGTAAGTGCCCCAGCACCCTCAGCCATCCCTGTCCTTTTTTTTTTTTTCTTTTTGAGATGGAGTCTGGCTTTGTTGCCCAGGCTGGAGTGCAATGGCACCATCTCGGCTTACTGCAACCTCCGCCTCCCGGGTTCAAGTGATCTCAGCCTCCCGAGTAGCTGGGATTACAGGCGTGTGCCACCGCCTCCGGCTGATTTTTGTATTTTTGGTAGAGACGGGGTTTCACCATGTTGCCCAGGCTGGTCTTGAACTCCTGACTTCAGGTCATCTCCCAGCCTCGGCCTCCCGAAGTGCTGGGATTACAGGCCTAAGCCACCGCTCCGGGCCTGTCCCTGTCCTTATTTGTGGTCCCTGTTCTTCCAGGGTCCTGAGCTCAGGACCCCCAGACTGCGGGTATCCCCGGGGAGGGCGCAACTGGCCCTGGCAGGGCCCGGACACCTGGGGCCCAACCCACCCCTGCGCACCCCGCGGTGTCGCCTTCCCGGGCGTCTCGGGTTCCCGGATCCCCTTACCCGGGCTTCTCGGCTGTCGCGTCCCGGGCCGGGGGAGGGGAGGCTTCAGGAAGCGACGGATCCGGCGGCGGCGGCGGCGGCGAGGGCCCGGGTGGGTGACCGAACTTCTCCCGCCATGGAGGGCGCAGTGGCCCGGGAGGCCCGGGAGGCCGAGGCCCCGCGCGCGTCTGCGCCCCCGCCCGCGCCCTCGGAGCCCCCGGCTGCGCCCCGCGCCCGCCCGCGCCTGGTCTTCCGCACGCAGCTGGCGCACGGGAGCCCCACGGGTAAGATCGAGGGCTTCACCAACGTCCGCGAGCTGTACGCCAAGATCGCCGAGGCCTTCGGGATCGCGCCCACCGAGGTAAGGACCCCGGACACCCGCGCCCGAGACCATCCGCCTGATGTGGTGAGGGGTGGGGAGCTTGGACGCTGGACGGGAGACCCCAGATCCCCGGATCCCAGACGTCGGGGTGGCTGCCTAATCGCCGGATCTCAGAGACGCAGCCCTCAGAGAACGGGGTGCCACACCCCAGGGTTCCCCTTTGCACGCTCTGCGCAAAACATGGGGAGGTCTTAGGTCTAGCGGACCCCTAGATATTCCAGAAAATCCTCTGCGCAGACCTCGCTTGGAGCGGACCCCAGCCCTCGGGGAAGCTCCTCTGTGCTTCCTGGAAATAGCTGGCATCTGGGGTTCCAGATGGTCCCCTTGGAGATGGGAAGTCTGAGGCCGTGGTGCGGTTGGGGGGTTCCTGGGCATTTTTCCAATCCGGGTCTGTTTGGTCTGCAGCCCCCAGAGGGCGCCAGCAGATTAAACCTGGAGGTCTGGGGGCTGGAGGTCCTGGAGGTATGGAGAGGGGTCTCCACCTGCCGGAAGCCGCCTTCTCCCTCCTCTCTCCATTCTCGGGAGGTCCCACGCCTTGCCCTTTCCCATGGGCTGGGATCCTGGTCGCTGGGGACAGGGGCCTGCGCAGACAGGGCGGCTGCATGGGAGGATGCGTGCCCTGGCTACCTCTGCGTTCCTTCTCCCCCGGGAAGATTTTATTCTGCACCCTCAACAGCCACAAAGTGGACATGCAGAAGCTCCTAGGGGGCCAGATAGGCCTGGAGGATTTCATCTTTGCCCACGTGCGAGGCGAGACCAAGGAGGTGGAGGTCACTAAGACAGAGGACGCTCTGGGGTTGACCATCACGGACAACGGGGCCGGCTACGCCTTCATCAAGGTGCCCGGGAGGGGGTGGGCAGGTGGCCTCCTGGGGTCCAGCAATTGCCCCCACACTCTGGGTCGACGTGGGTTCTGGGGATTCGAGGAGGGTGGCTGGGGTTGCCCTGCCAGCGACGCTGGATCCCTGCAGAGAATCAAGGAAGGCAGTATCATCAACCGGATCGAGGCAGTGTGCGTGGGTGACAGCATCGAAGCCATCAACGACCACTCCATTGTGGGCTGCCGCCACTACGAGGTGGCCAAGATGCTCCGGGAGCTGCCCAAGTCCCAGCCCTTCACCCTGCGCCTGGTGCAACCCAAGAGGGCCTTCGGTGAGGCGGGCGGGCTGGCGGGAGCTCTTCCCGAAGTGGGTCCTACGGATGCCGGGGGTGGAGGAGGGTCGGGGATGGGACGGGCTGGAAGGTTCTAGGTGCACCCGCTGCATGGCTACTAGCTCCTGGCAGGGTAACAGAAACTGGTAGTTTCTATTAATAGATTGTTATGGAACCAGTCTGTGGGGGAGGGGTGGGGGAGAGACTGGGTAAAGTGGAGTGGGAGGAGGAGGCCTCCAGAACCACTTTGTAGCCAGGCTGGGAGCTTTTTTTTTTTTTTTTGAGAGGGAGTCTCACTCTGTGGGCCTTGGATGGAGTGCAATGGCCCGATCTTCAATCTCAGCTCACTGCAACCTCCGCCTGGCGGGTTCAAGCGATTCTCCTGCCTCAGCCTCCTGAGTAGCTGGGATTACAGGCACCCGCCACTGCGCCTGGCTAATTTTTGTATTTTTAGTAGACACGGGGTTTCACCATCTTTACCAGTCTGGTCTCGAACTCCAGACCTCAGGTGATCCACCCGCCTCAGACTCCCAAAGTGCTAGGATTATAGGCGTGAGCCACTCTGTGCGCAGCCTGGGAACTTTTAAAGTAGTGCTTTGAGGTCATGGTGGATTCTAGAGAATGAGAATATGAGAAAAGTTTTCTTTCTTCTTCTTCTTTTTTTTTTTTTTTTTGAGGCGGAGTCTCAATATGTCGCACAGGCAGGAGCGCAGTGGTGCGATCTCAGCTCGCTGCAACCTCTGCCTCCCAGTTCAAGAGGTTCTCCTGCCTCAGCCTCAGGAGAAGCTGGGATTACAGGCGTGTACCACCATGCCAGGATAATTTTTGTATTTTTAGTAGAGATGGGGTTTCATTATGTTGAACAGACTGGTCTCAAACTCCTGAGCTCAGGTGATCCACCCGTCTTGGCCTCCCAAAATGCTGGGATTACAGGCGTGAGCCACTGCGCCTGGCCGTGCCAGCTAATTTTTAATATTTTTCTTTTTTTGAGATGGAGTTTCACTCTTGTTGTCCAGGCTGGAGTGCAGTGGCACGATCTCGGCTCACCGCAACCTCTGCCTCCCAGGTTCAAGTGATTGTCCTGCCTTAGCCTCCCAAGTAGCTGGGATTACCCAGACAAGAACATACCTAGATTGAGGCTCCTGCCACAAGGAGGGTCCCAAGCAGTCCCTAGAAGAGGGAGAATGAGGGCATGGGACTGGGACGTTAGTTCTAAACTTGCTCCATTACACCTCATTCTGGACTTGTGATTTAGTTTGCTGGGGACGGGAAGTGTGGAATCTCGAAAGGGTCTCTGGAGATTCGCCGCAAAGGAGGACTTTGAAGGGGAGGAAGATTCTAGAAAGGCTCGGCTGGTGGCCTCCCAGGGTTTACAAAGATGTGGCTCCACCCAGAACCCATGGCCATCCCTCACTCTGTTCCCTCCAGATATGATTGGCCAGAGAAGTCGGTCCAGCAAATGTCCCGTAGAGGCGAAAGTGACCAGTGGGAGGGAGACCCTGCGGCTTCGTTCCGGGGGGGCTGCCACAGTGGAGGAGGCGGTGAGTGAAGGGGAGGGGTTCTTCCCAGGCTTCTGCACCTGCAGTTCTGCCACTGAGTCAGTGTGGCCTTGGGCAAGAACTTCTCGGAGCCTCGGTTTCTCTGCCTGCAAAATGGGTCCTCGTTGAAAGGTGGGGCAATGATGTGGGTACCAGCACTACTGACTCATGTGAGGGTCCAGTCCACTCTAACCTTAGGGGTGGGGGTCTGGAGGGGCTGGGCTGGAGGGCTTCAAAGTTTTTCACCCCTGACTTCCCTCTCCTGTGCCCTCAGCCCAGTGAGTTTGAGGAAGAGGCATCCCAGAAGGTTGATGACCTGCTGGAAAGCTACATGGGCATTCGGGACCCCGAGCTGGGTAAGGGGCCAGGGTAAGCTGGGGGGCCCTGGCGGCAGGGCAGCCTACGGGAGGAGGCAGGGGTCCCAGCGGGAAGTTTGGAGTGGGGAGTGCCCTCACTGACAACCCCTCCGGCATGGCCCGCAGCGTCCACCATGGTGGAGACGTCCAAGAAGACAGTGAGCGCCCAGGAGTTTGCACGCTGTTTAGACTCCGTCTTGGGCGAGTTCGCCTTCCCCGACGAATTTGTGGTGGAGGTGTGGGCCGCCATCAGCGAGGCCAGGGAGGCCTGTGGCTAGTCTGCCCTGGGGGAGCCCAGCACAGCCCCAGCCTGGAGCCCCGCCCCCTGCCCCAGCCCTGCTCCAGAACCCAGCCCTTCTCTAGAATCCAGCCCAGATCTGAGGCCAAGCTTTGTGCTAGAGCCCAGGCCAGCTCTGAGACCAAGCCCAGCATTGAGAACAAGCCGTATTCTAAAACTCAGGCCAGCCCTGAGACCAAGCCCAGCTCTAGAACCCAGATGGGCTCTGAGACCAAGCCCAGCTCTAGAACCCAGATGGGCTCTGAGACCAAGCCCAGCTCGAGAACCCAGATGGGCTCTGAGACTGAGCCCAGCATAGAGACCAAGCCCTGTTCTAGAACTCAGGCCACCTCTGAGGCCAAACCCAGCTCTAGAACCCAGATGGGCTCCGAGACTAAGCTCAGCTCTAGAACTCAGATGAACTCTGAGACCGAGCCCAGTATTGAGACCAAGCCCTGTTCTAGAGCCCAGGCCAGCCCTGAGGCCAAGCTCAGCTCTAGAACCCAGATGGGTTCTGAGACTATGCGCAGCTCTAGAACCCAGATGGGCTCTGAGAATGAGCCCAGCATTGAGACCAAGCCCTGTTCTAGAACTCAGGCCAGCTCTGAGACCAAGCCCAACCCTAGAACCCAGATGATCTCTGAGTCCAGGCCCAGCATAGAGACCAAGCCCTGTTCTAGAACTCAGGCCACCTCTGAGGCCAAGCCCAGCTCTAGAACCCAGATGGGTTCTGAGACTAAGCTCAGCTCTAGAACTCAGATGAACTCTGAGACCAAGCCTAGTATTGAGACTAAGTCCTGTTTTAGAGCCCAGGCCAGCTCTGAGACCAAGCCCAGTTCTAGAAACCAGATGAGCTTTGAGACCAAGCCCAGCTCTAGAACCCAGATAAGTTCAGAGACCAAGCCCAGCATTGAGACCAAGCCCTGTTCTAGAACTCAGGCCACCTCTGAGGCCAAGCCCTGTTCTAGAACTCAGGTCAGCTCTGAGACCAAGCCCAGCTCTAGAAACCAGATGAGCTCTGAGACCAAGCCCAGCTCTAGAACCCAGATAAGTTCTGAGACCAAGCCCAGCATTGAGACCAAGCCCTGTTCTAGAACTCAGGCCAGCCCTGAGACCAAGCCCAGCTCTAGAACCCCGATAAGCTCTGAGACCAAGCCCAGCATTGAGACCAAGCCCTGTTCTAGAACTCAGGCCACCTCTGAGGCCAAGCCCAGCTCTAGAACCCAGATGAGATCTGAGACCAAGCCCTGCTCTGAAGCCCAGGCCAGCTCTGAGATGAAGCTCATCTCTAGAATCCAGCTGAGCCCTGACAACAAGCCAAGCTCTGGAACCCAGACAAATTTTAAGACCCAGACCAGCTTGGAGACCAATCCCAGTTCCAGAATCCAGGCTAGTTCGGAGACCAAGCCCTGCTGGAAAACTCGAGCTGACTCTGGAACTCTGGACAGCTCCACAATGCAGCCACACCTGGACACTCGGTCTAGCTCCAGAACCCCAGTTAATTTTGGAACCCATGTGAGATTCATGAAGCAACCCAGCTCTGGAACTCCAGCCAGCTCAGGATTCAGAGACAGCTCCCAAACCAAATCCTATTCAAGAACTCAGACCAGCTCAGAAACCCAGGTCCACACAACTGCCCAGTCCAGATCCCAAGCCCAGTTGCATCCAAGTACCCATCCCCACCCTGCAGCCCAGTCCAGCGCCAGTGACGATTCCAGCTCTGAGACTGAGCCCAGCTCTAGAACCTCACCTAGTGCTACAACCAGGCCCAACTGCAGGATTCAGACCAGCTCTGGAACCCCATCCATCTTGGAAGCAAGGCCCAGCTCCAGCACACAGCTTGGTGCCAAGCCCCACTCTCCCTGCAGAATGCAGGTCAGCTCTAGAATGCAGACCAATTTCAAGGCCTGGCCAAGCTCCACAGCTCAATCCAGCCCAGGCACTGCACTCAACTCTAGAACTCAGCTCAGTTCTGGAGCACAGGCTGGTTCTGAAATCCCAGCCAGCTCCAAAACACAGACAGTGGCTGAGACCCAGCCAAGTTCCAGAATCCAACTAAGCTCAGGAGTCCTACCTAGTCCTGGGACCCAGGCCATCGCAGCAACAGAGTTAAGCTCCACAGCCCCGTCTAGTTCTGACAGCAGGCCCAACTCCAAGACCCAGCGCTGCCCAGGAGCTCGACCAGCCTCTGGGACTCAATTCGCCTCTAAAACCCTGCCAGGTTCTAGGTACCAGCTCCAGACCACAGCCTCAGAGAGCTCTGGTATTCAACTAGACTTTGGGAAGCAGACCAGCTCTGGAAGTCAGCCTAGCTTTGGAACGCAGCCCAGCTCTGGGACCCAGATAAGCTCAAGAATTCAAGCCAGCTGTGGAAGTCAGCTTAGTTCTGGAACGCAGCTGATTACTGGAGCCCATCCCAGCTTCAGAACTCAGACCGGTTCCGGAAACCAGCTCAGCTCTGGGACCCAGGCCCGTGCAAGAATTCAGCTCAGCCTCGGAGCTCATCTTAGCTCCAGAACCCAGTCCAGTCCTGAGACCGGGCTCAGCTCTGCGGCTCAGCCCAGCTCTGGAACCCAGCCCAGCTCTGGAACCCAGCTCAGCTCTGGGATTCCGTTCGGCTCTGAAACCCAGACTGGCTCAAGAATTCAGCCCGACTCCGGAGTCCGCCTTAGCTCCAGAACCCAGTCCAGCTCTGAGACTGGGCTCAGCTCTGAAACCCAGACTGGCTCAAGAATTCAGCCCAGCCCTGGAGCCCACCTTAGTTCTGGAACCCAGACTGTTTCTGGAACCCAGTCCAGTTCCAGAACTCACATCAGTTCAAGAATCTGGCTGAGCCCTAGAAATGGGCTCTCCCCACAGACCACTGGCCTTGACCCTAGAATCCAGCTTGAGGGCCCTGCCGCAACCCAACCTCAGCCCGCAGGCCCACCCCCCAGAGACCCCACCCCAGCCCCTAGCAAAGACCCCCAGCCTCTGCCTCAGCCCCAAGAGCAGGTACGTGGCACCCAGGCCAGCCTTGGCCCCATCCCAGGCTTATCCCTCGCCTCCTACCCGGCCCCTCAGCCGCAGGTCTCCTCAACCCCCGAGAAGCCAGCCGTCTCTCCCAAGCCCCAGGTGGGACCCCAGAAATCCACCCCACCCACCATATCTGTCACTCTTAGTCCTGCCCCCAGAGGCCTCCTGAGTTCCCAGCTGTCTGAGTCCCCAGCTCTGGCGCCTGCCCCTTCCCCAACTCTGGAGAAGCCAGAGCCCCACCCTTACCGCGGGGGATCGTAGCTTGGCTGTGACCTAGCCTTGGCTCATGTGGTTCTCACCCTCTCCTGTCCCTCCCAGCCTGGGCCCCCCAGAAGCAGCAAGTGACCTTATTTCCCCAGCAGGCGGTGGTGGCGGGGTGTGTGGTGGTGAAAACAGGGGCTTCGGTTTCACCGGCCCTGGCTCAGATCCAGGTCCTTGGAGGGAAAAGGAGGGCAGGAGATGGGTTGCACCGCATGTACCCTGAGGGTTCATGGTGAATAAAGGCACCTTCCATCTCTGCAGCCTGGTGTGTCATTTTGCAGGGAGTTTGGGGGAATGCCAAGATATGGGGCTGAGGGGTTGACGGAAACTATGGCAACCTCTCGAGCACCTACTGTGTACCAAGCACTTCATTAAGCACCACATAGTGGTGCATGGGACAGGTGCTCCACGAAGACCCAGCCATTGGTCCTTTTTTTTTTTTTTTTTTTTCCCTGAGATGGAGTCTGGCTCTGTCGCCCAGGCTGGAGTGAGTGGCGCAATCTCGGCTCACTGCAAGCTCCGCCTCCCAGGTTCACGCTATTCTCCTGCCTCAGCCTCCCGAGTAGCTGGGACTACAGGCGCCCGCCACCACGCCCAGCTAGTTTTTAAATATATTTTTTTCTTTTTTCTTTTTTTTTTTTTTTGAGACAGAGTCTTGCTCTGTCGCCCAGGCTGGAGTGCAGTGGCCGGATCTCAGCTTACTGCAAGCTCCGCCTCCCGGGTTCACGCCATTCTCCTGCCTCAGCCTCCCGACTAGCTGGGACTACAGGCGCCCGCCACCTCGCCCGGCTAGTTTTTTGTATTTTTTTTAGTAGAGACGGGGTTTCACCGGGTTAGCCAGGATGGTCTCGATCTCCTGACCTCGTGATCCGCCCGTCTCGGCCTCCCAAACTGCTGGGATTACAGGCTTGAGCCACCGCGCCCGGCCTAAATATTTTTTTTTAGTAGAGACGGGGTTTCACCGTGTTAGCCAGGATGGTCTCGATCTCCTGACCTTGTGATTCGCCCATCTCGGCCTCCCAAAGTGCTGGGATTACAGGCTTCAGGCACTGCGCCCAGCCACCCGGCTAATGTTTTGTCTTTTTAGTAGAGATGCGGTTTCACCATGTTGGCCAGGATGGTCTTGATCTTCTGACCTCGTGATCCACCCGCCTCGGCCTCTCAAAGTGCTGGGATTACAGGCGTGAGACGCTGCGCCCAGCCACCATTGGTCCTTTCTCCCAATATTTATTGAGCACCTACCATGTGCAAGGTGCTGTACAGAACACGGTGGTGTTTGAAAGACTGTTGGGTGAACAAGTGAACGGTAGAGAAAACAGGGGCACCACTCCATGCTTTTGCATCTCTCTCTCTCTCTCTTTCTCTGTTTTATTCATTTATTTATTTAGAGATGAAGTCTCACTCTGTCGCCCAGGCTGGAGTGCAGCGGTGTGATCTCAGCTCACTGCAACCTCTGCGTCCCGGGTTCAACCAATTCTCCTGCCTCAGCCTCCTGCATAGTTGGGATTACAGGCACCTGCTACCACGCCTGGCTAATTTTTTGTTTGTTTGTTTGTTTGTCTTTAGAGACGGAGTTTTGCTCTCGTTGCCCAGGCTGGAATGCAATGACATGATCTCAGCTCACCACAACCTCCACCTCCTTGGTTCAAGCGATTCTCTTGCCTCAGCCTCCCGAGTAGCTTAGATTATAGACATGCGCCACCACGCCCGGCTAATTTTTTTTTCTTTTTTTTTTTTTTGTATTTTAGTAGAGATAGGGTTTCTGCATGTTGGTCAGGCTGGGCTCGAACTCCCGACCTCAGGTGATCCGCCCGTCTCGGCCTCCCAAAGTGCTGGGACTCCAGGCATGAGCCACCACGCCCAGCCATTTTTGTATTTTTAGTAGAGACAGGAGTTCACCATGTTGGCCAGGCTGGTCTCGAACTCCTGACTTCAGGTGATCCACCATCCTCAGCCTCTCAAAGTGCTGGGATTACAGGCATGAACAATCACACCTGGCCCAATTATACCTACTTTTAATAACATGCAGATTCAAAGGTGGTTTGACCAGGGCTAACCTGAAGCCCTCCCATGACAGGCTGCTGGGAGAATTCTAGGCGGTACCACCCATGAAGTGATTACGAAACACTCGAGAAACAAGTGGGGGAGGAACCAAATCCTCTCTTCCCTCCCCATCCTCCCCAGCCTTGCCCTTGTCTGCCCCGGGTGAGGTTCAGTGCACAAAACCCCAGAGACTGACAACTGGACCCCAAGGAAAATAAAACCAAAGGCAGAGATATATTTTGGCAAGAAAAGGGGGTGCCCCCGTTCACATTCAATTTTTTCTGGACAGAACCTTCCCGGTTGATGGTTCAAAAGGAAGCAACAGTACCCCAGCAAGTAGGTCAAATTCAGGGTGAAAGAGCAATGGAAGGCCGGGCGCAGTGGCTTACGCCTGTAGTCCTAGCTGCTCAGGAGGCTGAGGCACGAGAATCGCTTGAATCCAGGAGGTGGAGCTTGCAGTGAGTTGAGATTGTGCCACTGCACTGCAGCCTGGGCCACAAAGTGAGACTCTATCTCAAAAAAAAAAAAAAAAGAAAAAAGCCAGGTGCAGTGGTTCATGCTTGTAATCCCAGCACTTTGGGAGGCCGAGGTGGATGGATCACCTGAGGTCAGGAGCTCAAGACCAGCCTGCCCAACATGGTGAAACCGCATCTCTACTAAAAATACAAAAATTAGCCGGGCATGGTGGCATGTGCCTATAGGCCCAGCTACTCGGGAGGCTGAGGCAGGAGAAACGCTTGAACCCGGGAGGTGGAGGTTGCAGTGAGCTGAGATGGTGCCACTGCACTGCAGCCTGGGGAACAGAGCAAGACTCCATAAAAATAATAATAATAATAATAGCTATGCAAGACTCTCTTCCAATGTCCCCGCGCCCTTCCTGGGGCTGGGAGGGGCGCAGAGAAGTGGTGGGAGCTCTGGATGGGAAAAGGGAGCCGAGAAAGGGAGAGGTCTTGGTAAAAGGGAGAAGTTGGGGTTCCCCGGGTTGGATTGGGGTCAACCCCAAAACCCTGCTGCTGACGCCCACTGTCCATCCAGCACCCCCAGCTCCCGAATCCTCAGAACAGGCAGATGGGCTGTCCCAGGGGGCCGAGGGCTCCGCGTAAACGCGCGGGAGGGGCGCTCTGTCCACTTCCTACTGCAGCCCGGAGCGCTGCGTGAGCTGCGGCTGGAGGGACAGCGACCTGGGCCGGGTGCTGAGGCGGGGCTGCAGGCGCCGGAGCACGGCGCGGCGGAACAGGATGTACACCCAGGGATCCAGGATCTGGTTCCACGTGGCCACGCGCAAGTAGATGAGCAGCTGCTGCTCCGTGGCGCGGGACAGCTGCCCGGAGGGGCTCATGGCAGGCGGGTTCCGCAGCACTGTCTGGGCGATGAAGACCTGCAGAGGGGACAGCGGTCAGCCTGGGCCCTGCCTCCAGCCCCACCCGCCCCGGTCCCTGCCCCGGTCCCCTGAGATCCAGGGTCCACTCTGTTTTTTATTTTTATTTTTGAGACACAGTCTCGTTCTGTCGCCCAGGCTGGAGTGCAGTGGTGCGATCTCAGCTCATTGCAACCTCCGCCTCCCCGGTTCAAGCAATTCTCCTCTCTCAGCCTCCCAAGTAGCTGGGATTACAGGTGCCTGCCTCTACACCCAGCTAATTTTTGTATTTTTAGTAGAGACGGGGTTTCGCCACATTGGCCAGGCTAGTCTCGAACTCCTGACCTCAAGAGATCTGCCCACCTCAGCCTCCTAGAGTGCTGGAATTACAGGAGTGAGCCACCGCGCCTGGCCGGTGTCCTCTCTGTTACTGCATTGCTGGGTGACCTCAGGAGAGTTGACTAACCTCTCTGAGCTCCTACTGATGGGTCCATAAATTAGAGCACTGTTAGCCAGACAGTGGCTCATGCCTGTAATCTCAGCATTCTGGGAGGTCAATAGGAGAGAATCGCTTGAACCCAGGAGTTCAAGACCAGCCTGGGGAACATAGTGAGACCTCATGTCTACAAAAAGTAAAAATAAACTAAAAAGTTACCCGGGCATGGTTGCACTCCAGTCTGGGTGACAGAGCAAGATCCTGTCTCAAAATAAATAAATAAATATAATTTTTCAATAATAAAAATTATATTTATCTGTAGGCCAGGATGATAGGAAATTTTTAAACTCTATTTAAAAGTAAATATTTAAAATAAGAATGTTATCTACAAATTAGTATAAAATAATCAATTATATGATAATATAATTATTATTCATAATTATAATGTTGCATATAATTGATATATATCATTTATCATACAATTATATTGTAATAAATGTTACATTATATTAAGATAATTTGTTTGAGACCAGCTTGACCAACATGGTGAAACACCATCTGTATTAAAACATACAAAAATTAGCCGGGTGCGGTGGCACGCACCTGTAGTCCCAGCTACTTGGGAGGCTGAGGTGGGAGGATCCTTGTACCCAGGAGGCAGAGGTTGCAGTGAGCTAAGATGGCACCACTGCACTTCAGCCTGGGCAACACAGCGAAACTCCATCTTAAAATGAAATAAAATAAAATAATTTGGCTGGGCGCAGTGGCTCACATCTATAATCCAAGCACTTTGGGACGCTGAGGCAGGCGGATCACAAGGTCAGGAGATTGAGACCATCCTGGCTAACACGGTGAAACCCTGTCTCTACTAAAACTACAGAAAAAATTATCTGGGCGTGGTGGCAGGCACCTGTAGTCCCAGCTACTTGGAAGGCTGAGGCAGGAGAATGGCATGAACCTGGGAGGCGGAGCTTGCAGTGAGCCGAGATCGAGCCACTGCACTCCAGCCTGGGCGACAGAGTGAGACTCTGTCTCAATATAATAATAGCACTAATAATAGCAACAATTATATATATGTATATATAGTTGTTTTTTTTTTTTTTTTTTTTTTTTTTTGAGATGGAGCCTTGCTCTGTTGCCCAGGCTGGAGTGCAGTGGCGTAATCTCAGCTCACTGTAACCTCCACCGCCTGGGTTCAAGCAGTCCTCCTGCCTCAGTCTCCTGAGTAGCTGGGATTACAGGCGCCTGCCACCATGCCCAGCTAATATTTTGTATTTTTAGTAGAGATGGGGTTTCACCATGTTGGCCAGGGTGGCCAGGCTGGTCTCGAATGCCTGGCCTCAAGTGATCCACCTGTCTCACCCTCCCAAAGTGTTGGGATTACAGGCATGAGCCACTGAGCCCAGCCAAAATAATTTATATTA